CCCCCCCCCCCCCCCCCGGCTTGCGACCTGATACAAAGGCTGTTCCGGACTGGGTGGAGCTACCGAACGGCTGTCTGTGCTGCTCGATGCGCGATGCGACGGTCACCGCGCTCGAGGCGCTGGCGATCAAGGCCGCCGACCGGGTGGACCATATCCTGGTGGAGTGTGCCGGCCTGGCGGATCCCGGCGTGGTGGCCAGCATGCTGTGGCTGGATGAGGGGCTGCACAGCCGCCTGCAGCTGGACGGCGTGGTGGCCGTCGTGGATGCGGAGAATCTTGAGCGCGCCCTGTCGGCTGAGGCTACCCGGACCACGGCCGAGCTGCAGATCGCCTTCGCCGATCGTGTGCTCATCAACAAGGTGTCCGGGGTCTCTGGCGAGGCGCTGGCCACCATTCAGACCCAGATCCGAGCCATCAACCCCACGGCCAAGTGCCTGTTCGCGGACTATGGCCGCGTGGCCGCAAGCGACGTGCTCGCCATTGGGGCCTATTCGCCGGATGATATGCCGGACCAGCTGGCGGCGCACTTGGCGCGGGGGGGCACTGACCATGCGCCGGCTGCCGCCACGCACGCCACCCCATGCGGTCATACCGCTGCGGGCGCCACCGAGGGGGCTGCCTGCACTGAGGGTGTCTGCGGGGCCGGGGCCGTGCACCAGCCGGACCAGCCGCTGGACGACACGCACTTCCGGTCGGTGTCCTTCACCTTCCCGGCCGGGCGTCTGGTGGACTTGGTGCGCTTTGAGGCCATCCTTCGGGTCTTGCTGTGGGAGAACCAGCTCCCTGGTGCGGAGGCTCTGGCACGCCTGTCGACAAGTGGCGCCAGTGCTGATGGGACGGCCGCTCTGTCGGCCGCCCCGGCCTGGGATCCCGAGCTTCTTCAGTCCTCGGACCGGGCCCTTCCCTCGCAGGTGGCCAGTCGGCCCGACATCCCGTACCTTGGTGGTGGGGGTGGCCTCGAGGTGGAGGTCATCCGGGGGAAGGGCGTCCTCCGGTCGTCGGATACCCCAGGCCGGCGGACCGTCTTCCAGGGTGCGTGAAATGCGATGGTCGCGAGTGTCTGTCATGCTTGCCTCTTTTTCCCCCTGTGCGCCCCCTGCGCCCCCTCCCCCTTCTCCCCTCGCTAATGTGTGGAGGCGTATTTTTGTCCCCCCCCCCCCCCGGCCGGGTCCCCCTTTTTTTACCGTCCACTCAGCCGTGTACAGTTCGTACGAAGTGCGCGATGGCGGGGCCTTCAAGCCTGACGCCGAGCCGACGTCCTCCGTCCTGTTGATCGGTGCGTTTCGAGAGGGGCATCGAAGGGAAGGAAAAAAAAAAAGGCGGTGCATTGGTCCTCCCGGCTCTCTAACCATGCGAACACATGATGAAAAGCACGCGGCCCCGGCGTGACCCGACTGGAGGAGGTGTTTCATCACTGCCTGGTCTGATCTGGAATATGTCCAGAATGGCGTTCTCCCCTGGCCGTGCCGCGGAATTCTGGTGTCTTTGTCAGCGACCGGCCGGGGACAGAGGTGGGGCGTCTGCGGGGGGGCGGGTGCACTCTGTGTGCACCTCTCCGTGTTCCCCCCCCCCCCCCCCTCTCCCTCTCCCTCTCCCTCCGCGCCCTTTTCGGGTCTTCAGCTCTCTGTATGCGCTCCAACGGGCGAGTGTGAGCACGGCCTTTCCCCTGTCCAGAAATGGATCCATGTTGTGCGGTTGGACTTTAGGGGAGGTTTGATGAAGGGAATCGAGGACCGGCTGGGTGCAGCAAAAGAGTAGATTGAGCATATTGGCGTGGGGGTGGAGGGGGGGCGCGCCCCCTGTCACGGCCGAAAAAAAGACCACGGTCCCGGCAGAGTAGCAGCATGTCCAATCCGTCCGGCGTTCGTTCCCCCCCCCCCCTCGCGGCGCCCCCGTGGGCAGGGCTTGTTCGTTGCTGTGTAGAGGTCCCCTGTTGCATCCAGCCCATGGCCCACACCCGATTTCCGCTTGCGGCGGCGGGCGACCCGGCAAACCGCCGTACCAGCCCTGGACCAACCTTCCTGCGGGTCTTCATTGTGCAGGGGGAGGACCATCTCCGCAATGTCCCTGACGCGGAGGGCGCCGTTCACGCTCCCGCCCCCCCCCCCCCCCCCCCCCCGGGGGGGGGTAAGCAGGGCTGTCGTGCGTTCGGATGTGCGTGCTGCCACCCGGGGCCGCTGCCGTGTGGTGCCCAGGGGTGCAGACCCGCGGGCCGGTTCAAGCATATGGGGCGCCTGGTTGGGGTGTGTGGCCAGTGCGTGCGCGCGCGCGCGTTCCTCCCACGCTCGGCGCCCGGGTCGAACGCCGGCCGATCTTTGGCCTCCCTTGTAACGCGCTGGGCGGGCGATTGGCGACAAACCCGCCAGCAGGCCGACATGCTCCGGTCGTCGTGAAGGCCGGGCGTCCGTTACCCCCCCCCCGGGGGGGGGAGGGACGGGGGCGGGGCGGAGTGCTGAACAGGGAGGCTCGGGCCTTTCGCGGGGCGTGTGAACCGTGTCTGTGCTAGGCGTGCGAAGACCCGGACGCCCGGCTCGGCCGAGGGGGGGCGGGGGCGGGGGGCCTTGCGCCGTGCTTTTCGGAGATTCAGCGCTCTGCCCGCGGCCGCGCACCCCGGGCCGGGCGAGCTGACGGCCGGCTCTGTGTTGCACGAGGCCTCGGCTCCGGCCTTGGAACCCGGGGGGGTTGGGTGTGGCCGGGCCTTTAGGATCCCACTTCACAGAGCGGTAGGGTGCCCCCCCTCCCGGCGGTTCTGAAAGGGCGCCGGATGCCTGCCTTCCCGCCTGCCTGCTCGCCTGCGTGCGTCCTTCGCCCGTATGCACCACCCCCGCGCCTGGCCCAGTTGCGCCGGGGGGAGGGGAGGGGGGGGGGGGGCAGGCGGGGAGACACTCGGCCCGGCCGCCAGATGGCGCTCGTTTCGTTGGCTCTGGGACCGAGGCGAGCCTAGGATCTTTGATTTCAGATCCGCTGCCGGTCCGCCGGAGAGTAGCCGGGCCTTTCCGGACATCGCCGCGCTGGCGCCAGCCCAACGTACTCCCCGCCGGCGCCGCGCGCCCCAAAAGAGTGCGAGAGAGATCTTCTCCCGCCCCGATCGCGACGTGCCTCGAGGGGGGGGGGGGGGACACCCAGCGGGCCGCGCCAGCCCGGAGGAATGGGCGCAAAGAATGCCACCGCGGGAGGGGGATCTGGCTCCCAGGAAAACGGCCCACCTCCCTCCCGCCCCCTGGCCGGTCCCGCACTTGCCCCCCCTCCCGGGGGCGGCGCGGTGGCCTGGTCGAGTTGGATCTGCTCCGGTGGAAGACACCAGTCGCCCCCGGCCCCCCCCCCCCCGGGCGGGGGAGGGGCCGGCGGGGGTGTCACGCCACCGTCGTGCCTTGGGAGCTGGCGGCCCCCTTTCTCTCCCCGGTGCTTGTGTTTGTGTACTGGCTTGCTTGTACACGCACACGCACGCACACCCACACACCCACACACCCACACCCACACAGAGACACACACACACACACGCCCACGCTGGCCCGCTGGGAAATGCACTCGCGACCGGAGGTGGTTGTCCAAGAGTCCCCCAGCCCGCGCGGCATCGCCATCGCCGTGTTGATGAGCTCCTCAGAGTGCTTGTCGGGCGTGGCCATTGGCGCGGGGCGAGTGCGCCGTTTGCGCATGGACGCCGGTATTGTTTATTTTTGTTGTTTCCCCCCCCCCCCCCGCACCCCGGCCAGCGACGCTGGCGGCACACATGCAACAGGCGCCCGCGGCCGCGGTGTCCGGTGCGGCGAGACGCTCGCCCTGCCGTGCTCACACGCTGCGTGTTTCGGCATGTTTCCGCGCGTTCCGGAAGGCGGCGGCGAGAGCGCGGAGCATGCACCGGTGGCACCCCCCCCCTACCCCCGCACCCGGCCTCCCCTGCCTTTCCCCAGGGGCCGCAATATCGTCCCCACAGCGGGCGCGCGCGCGCGTGCGCGAATGCGGCTGCTGCTCCAATCTCCCAAAGTACGACTGCCCAACAGGAAGATGACCCCGGGCCCTCCCGCCCTCCTTGAGAGCACCAGCGGGGCCTTTTTCCGCCATCAGTTTCTGGCCAGGCCAGCATGCGCGGGTCAACGGCTCCTCCTTATCCCCTTGCTCCCCCCCCCCCCCCCCCCCCTGCGCCTTTGCTGCTTGTTCTCCCTTCGCTCTCTGCCACCTGGCCTTCTTTCTCCGCTCCCCCTCTCTCCTGCCAGCGGACTTCTCGCTCTCGTCTCCCTCCCGCGCCCTCTTGCTTCCTTCCCATCTCTTTCCGTCTGGTCTTCGCGTAGTTTATCACCCCCCCACCCCGTATGTGGCCGATGTCACGCCTCGCCCCGCTGCCCGCTGCCCGCTGCCTTCTCCGCGCCCCCTGCCCCGTCTGACTGTTTCATTTTGCCTTTCACAGTCGCAAACACGATCATGGCTACCACTTTCTCCCCACCCGTTGGCCAGCATGAGGACCACCCGATGCCACCGCTGGCCGTGACCGACGGTGGGACCAGCCTGTCGTGCGCTGGGCGCGACTGGAGCACCCTCCCGGAAGATCTGGAGGCGCAGGTCGGTGTCCCCTTGGCGTCGATTCGCAACCTGGACCTTAGCTTCAACAATCTGTCGTGCGTCTTACCCCCCCGGAAGTCTGGTCCCCTTCGAGTGCAGGGAGGAGGGGGGGGGGGGAGGACTGGCGGCATCTTCGCTTCCCCCTTTCTCGCCTTTCCTCCCCCCCCCCTCCCCTGGATGGGCAATGTGCTGACTACCATGTGCCTCCTGCTCCCGGGATGCAGCTCGCTCGACGAGGTCTTCGCCCTGTTCCCCAACCTCGAGACGTTGATCGCCGACAACAACCAAATTGAGATTCTCACGGATGCGGCCCAGGTGGTGGTTCCCGAGAAGGCCTCCACCACGCCGGAGGCGGACACCGCGTCGATTAGCTCGATCGAGTCGTCGGACGCCCAGGCTCCGGTGGCAGATAGTCCCCCTGCTGAGACCGCTGGGCGTCTGGCTCCCCTGGCGTCGCTCAAGGTCCTGTCCTTGAACAACAACAACCTGGCCGGGCTGGAGGCACTGCTGGATGCTCTGGCTTTCCTGACCCCCAATCTGAACATGCTGAGCCTGGCCCGGAACCCGGTCTGTCCGGATGGCCTCTTCCGCGAGGGTGCCGGCAGCAGCAATGAGCGCACCTACCGCCATTACCGGTATGTGGGCCATGCCTGTCTCTGTCACTTTGCTCTCTTCCCCTCCTCCTCCTCCTCCTCGTCCTCGTCCTCCTCCTCCTCCATAGTCCAATGTGGGGGTATCATGGTCCAGACTATTGCCTGGCCATCTACATTCCCTCTGTGTCCCCTTCCCCCTCCCTCCCCCCGCCTCTCCCTCTCTCACATGTGCCTTTTTTTGTCCCCTCTCCGCGTCATACAACTCGTGCAGTCTGCGCGTTATTTTCCGCCTGCCAGGCCTGGCTTTCCTGGATGCATCGCGCATTGCGCCATCCGAGCGTGAGGTTGCCCAGACAACCGGGCAGTACCTGCGCGTGGCCACGGTCGGGTCGTCCAGCACGGCCCCGAATACCGCGGCCTCCAGCTCTGGGTCTTTCACCACGAGCTCCATTTCCAGCTACCCGACGTCCTCTGCGCGTACGACCAGCTCGGGTGGCTCGGCCCCGGGGCGCGAGTATGCCCCGCTGCCTGAGACCACCGCTCCTACGGGCACCGGCAAGGCGCGCTACGGCGTGTCGCGTTATGTGTACAAGGGTGCGCCTCTTTCTTTGCCAAACATCGCCCTGGGCAGATATTCCCTCATATTGGGCTTTCCTCTTGCTCCTCACCAACGCGTGTGGTTGTTCCTCACACACACACACACGCATTGATTCATTCATTCCTTTCTAATCGACTGATTCCCCTCCCGCCGTCCACTTTTTTCCCCTCCTGGTGCCCACTGCACAGGCAACCACAGCGAGGGCAACCGCTTCATCTGCAACCAGGATCTTTGAGGACACATGTATTCCCATGCCAGTTTGGGTGTCTTGGAAATGTGTGAGACCAGGCCAGTGCCCGTATGTGGGAGACACGAAGAGCATGCTGTGTGCTCCCCCGCCCCACGCTGCATTTGCACGCACGTTGACGCCCACGCGCTCGCGCGCATAGAGCGCTCACTCTCTCCTCCTCCCTTTGTGACCCCCCCCCCCCCCCCTGCCCATCACCCACCAACAGTGGGTGTCAGCCGGAGATCGGACAGCGGAATCTTCCTGTCCCTCTTCCCATGCTCTATCGGCGGGGGCGTCCGGGCCATGTGCCCCAGTCCACGGCTGGAGAGGGGCAAAGGGAGGACTGTGAGACTCTCTCTCTCTCTCTCTCCCTCTTTCTCCCTGCCTTTTGTGGTGTCCCCTTCTGTACTTGATACCCCTCTGTGGGGACATGGTGTGACATGCCATCCCCCCTGTCTCTCTCTCTCTCTCTCTCTCCCCCCCATTTCCCCTTGGCTGGGAGGTGGGGCCCTGTATATCTGTGTAGTGATGTTTCTGCCACGCCCGGGGCCCCTCCCTGCAAGGGGGACCGAAAACGAAAAAAAAAAAAAAACAAACACAAAATAAATACGCTATACACTCTCGAAAATGCACAGCCCGCTGCGATGATGTTAGGCTTCCTTCGGGGGGGTTTCCTCCTTGCCAGGCTCTCCCTCATGGTGTTTCTCTTTTGGTCCCCACGTCTGCCCTCGGCCGCCCTTCTGCCAGGAGGAGGGCGCGTGGGGAAGCGCGACAAGAGGCGCGCCCCGAACAGGCCTCGTTCGATGGGGAGAGGTGAGCAGAGACGCGCATGTGAAAGCTCGTTTGGCGATTTCTTTCCGCGCTCTTCTGGGTCGACCCGCCCCCCCCCCCCCCGGGGATCTCTATGCCCTTCGGCGTTTGTTGGTGGCCAGCAGGCAGAGATGGCGGAGGCGAGGCACGGAAAAAAAAGAAATACACCGGCGACAGGATTTGAACCTGTGCGGGCAGAGCCCATCTGATTTCGAGTCAGACTCCTTAACCACTCGGACACACCGGTAATCATTCATGGGCAAGGAGGCCTCCGGAGGGTTATTTGTTGTTTTGGATTCCGGATCCCGCTCTCTGCCCCGTGCCTTCTTTTGAATGCGGGCCACGCCCCCTCCATCTCCTCACCCCTCCGGCTGGGTCCCACTCGCCGTGGCCTCCGCGCCAGGGTGTTTGCTTGTACCTGCTTGTGCGATCGAAGCAACAAACCACCTCCATTTCCACCACCTCGCTGAGTGGACAATGTGCACCCATCGGGCCGCCCGCCGGCCCTTGCTCCTCCCCGTCATCCATGTGCTTCCCTCCCCCCTCCAGGGTGCTCCCCCCGGCAGTCCTCCCCCTCACTCTTGTGCCCTCTTCCAAGGTGCTGGGACCTTGAGCGATTGGTCCTTTTCTGCTCAGCACCTGGGTCCACCGCCCCATTGTGCCCAGGCGCCGACATCGTGCCAGGAAGCAATTGTGGCAGAGTTTCCCGATGTTGCTCTTCCTAAAGACGCAGATGACCGGAGCCGCTGCTTCCCTCCCCGTTTGATGGTGTTTCTGTCTGTGCTTGATGTGTCTTTTCGGGGCATCGCGAGAGAGTGATTCTCGGACATCCCCCGGCGGCCGCCGGCCTCGCACACCCGAGACACACTCTTCGTCATCAAAACGCACGGACACACACAGTTAAAAGCACCCGCATGGGCCTGGCGGCCAAGAAGCTACCGGTGTGTCCGAGTGGTTAAGGAGTCTGACTCGAAATCAGATGGGCTCTGCCCGCACAGGTTCAAATCCTGTCGCCGGTGCATCTTTGTTTTTGCCCCTCTGGACTCGGCTTTTGTCAGCCGTGCGGGGGGACAGCGCGCACACCGCTCTGAGACCCAACCCGAGCAAGTGGCGGCGTTGCCACCCGCAAACAGACAGACAGACAGACAGACAGACAGACAGACAGACAGACAGACAGACAGACAGACAGACAGACAGACAGACAGACAGACAGACAGACAGACACACACACACACACACACACACACACACACACAGACATTGCCCCGGGTGGAAAAAGGGTAAATCTGCGTGTATAAAAGTACAAAATCTGCGTGTGCGCGCATGCTTGCTTGCTGAGGGGAGAGAGAGAGAGAGAGATGAGAGAACGGGGGGGGGGGGACCTCGGTCGAGAAAGGGAGGAATTATCTCTGTTCTAATGAATGTGCAGGCACGGGTGGGTGTGCAAGCTGGGAGCCGGGGAAGCTCCTCCCTGACTAAATGTGTGTACATGGCAGTGCGCATGGGGACACGCGGGCGGAAAGAGACACCTCCGCCGGCGGAAGGATGGCCTCGTATACAACCCTTTTTTTCTGTCGCCCCCCCCTCCTTCCCTCGCACTCTCTCGCTGGTGGCCGGAGGGGGGGGGGGGGGGGGCCTGACACGATCACACATGCACACACACACACACACATAGTCACACATGTGCACGCGCGCTCACACATATGTCGTCGCGCCCTAAACATCGGCCTGAGGTTGGCGAGAGGCGACCGCAGCGGCAGCGGCAGCCGATGCGGCCGCAGCCGACGCCAAAGCCACTGCCGTGGCGGCAGCCGTGGCGTCGTAGTCGGCGGCCTGCTGCTGCTGCGAAGGGCTGGTCAAGGCCCCGGGAGCGCCGCCGCTGCCGGCACTCGATCCCGCACCACCACCACCACCACCGGCGCTCATGACTGCCGTGCTGCCACCTGGCGTGAGCGGCGTCAAGGCCACCGAGCTGTTGCTAGACCCTCGGCTGAAGGAGCTGGCCGTGAGGATGGGAGCCGGCGCGCCGCTGGATCGAGAGAATCGCCCGGCCAGCCAGCGCGACTTGCCGGAAGAGCTGCGCCGCAGGAGATTGGAGCCCGGACTGCCGGGCCCACCGGCATGCGGGCCCCCCCCGCTGCCCATCAGCACTCCGGCCACACCGCCCTGGGGGGTACTGCCAGAACCACTGCCACCGCCCCCGGCACCGGGCATGCCGATGGGGCTGACACTATGCGGCGAGTGATCCCCCGCCTGGTGGATGATGCCGGCCGGATGGAGATGATGATGCGGAGACCGGGCAGCCCCGCCGCCGCCGCCGCCAGAGCCCGGGACCAGGGCCCCTCCGTGGCCAGCAGCACTCCCCCCATGCACTTGACCGGGGATGCTGACGGTCGGCATGCTGAGGCTACCGGCGGCCGCCATCATCATGTTGCCGCCGTGGCCCAATGGGGCCGAGTGGCTGTGCGGCATCATCACTGCCAGGCCCGGCTGGTAGGGGGTTTGGTTGTGGTGAAAGCGAAACTGCCCGCCACTGTCCCGGCGGCCCAGCTGCACGCTGGTCCCGGTGTTGGACCCACCGCGGCCGCGATCTACGGAATTCCCCCGGCTCAGGGAGTGCGGCGTGGGGGCGCTGCTTGCCGGGCAGGACCGGCCACCGGCCAGTGCCATGCCGCCGCCGCCGCCACTTGGCGAAAGGAAATCCCCCCCGCCGAGGTCGCTGCTCCCGACCCCGCGCAGGGACCCAGTCGAGGAGGCCAATGACGAGGTGGAGGACGAGAGGGACGCCGTGGACCCAGGGTCCGGCGTGCCGGCGGTCAGCTTCACATCCGGCAGAGTGTCTGTGCTGACGGATCCGGCGGCGGCGGCGGCGGCGGCGGCGGCGGCGGCGGCGGCATGGCTGGCAGTTGCCGAGTACAACAGGTCCTGGAAATCGTAGCCCTGCTTGGCAATGTTCACTCCGATCGGGATCGGATGGCCAACGCCATACTGCTGCTGGGTTTCGGCAATGACCGCGCTATAGTCCCGGCCATCGTGGGCGATATAGTGCTTGCGCTCAAGGACAAAGCGCAAGGCCGCCAGCCAGGCATCGCGCGAGCGCTCCGACGCCAGGTAGAAGCCAAACTCCAAGGTCTGCATCATGACCCCGGAGGTGCTGGACCCGGAGGTGGAGGTCAGATCGTCGGACCCGGAGCTGCTTGTGCTGGCATTACTACTACCACCACCGGCGGGCGGGGGGTTGCCACTCATCATGGTGATGGCGATGCCGAAACGCTGGTTGAGGATCTGGAATTGGGCATTCAGCTCGACCAGCTCGCGGGTGAGCTGCTCGATGCGCTTCCGGCCCTCCTTGGCCCCGCGCCGGCAGCGATCAATCATGCCGTCGTTTGGCGTGCCGGCGGCCGCGGCGGCCGCGGCGGCAGCCAACATCCCGCTCCCGGGAACCGGGGAGGGGCCACCCCCTGGCCGGCTGCCGGGGCCGCTGCCAGTCGGCTGGTCGTCCAATTCGGCTCCATAGGCACCGGCCATCTTCAGGAACGACTGCACGGAGACCTGCTCAACGTTGATGGCGCTGCGAGTTTTCTCGATGTTCTCTCGCACCTCGATGCCCTCTGCGATAGGCGCAGGCGCAGGCGCAGGCGTGTGTGTGTGTGTGTGTGTGTGTGTGTGTGCGCGCGCGCGTGTGTGTGCACGAATTGTCCCGACAGAAGAAAAAGCAAGCCAATTTGCATGTGAGCAGCAGAAGCAGACAGATGTGGAGGTACACATGCAACCGGAAACACCACACCCGCGTGTCCGACGCCCGGGGCCAGAGACAGAGAATGTGTGCGTGCGTGTGTGCGTGTGCACGTACCCTGACAAAGTGGCGCCTCGATGGCTTTGATGCCAACAATGCGCTCCAAGTCGGCCATCCACTCGAGGTTGTAGCGGATCGGGCCGCCAGTCTGGAAGAGGTTGGCAAAACTCTGGGCCTTGTCGCCGAGCAGCAACTTGGAGAAGCCGCCGGGGGAAATCTCCCTCAGGCCAAGGTGGAAGGCCAGCGGCTCCAGCTGATGGATGGAGGCGGTGGTCATGTCCGGAGCACCGGGGCCAGTCGCGGAAGCGGACCCGCCGCTGCCACCACCTCCCCCGGACATGCCGACCCCGGGAACACCGCCAGCATGACCGGCGGCGGTGGACCCGCCGACGCCGGCCGGCCCGGCACTTGCACCGCCAGCGCCGCCACCCCCGGCGGCACCAAACCCAGGGTGCAGCTGATCGCCGGCCGTGATGCCGAGCGTCAATTGCGGGTGCACAAGACCCCCGTTGACGGTGACCGCCGGCGAGGCCGACGTCTCGGCACACAGGATGATGTCATTCATGAGGAAGAGCATGCGTGTCACACGCTTCGACTGCGGCTGACACTGGTTGGCTTGGTCCCCGAGCACCGAGAGGGTGGGCGACGACCCGCTGGCCGGGTGGTCGCCGCTCAGGGGACTGGCCGAGCTGGACCGCTTCATGATCTTCCACCAGGCCTTGCCGCCATTGCCGCTGCTGCTCCCCTTGCTGCCCTTGCCTCCGCCGGGCTGCAGCGCCTCGGGATCATTTTCCGGGGCCAGGGCAGCCATCACCGGGCCAACTTGGATCAGCCGGCGCTGGCGCTGGCCCGAGAGATCCTGGATATGGCGGCCAAAGGGTTTTGTGCGGACGTTAGATGAGAGAATTCCCCGGGCATGCGCACGTCGGGAGATGGCCTGTCGGCCGCATGATTGACCACACTGCCGGTGTATGGGCACAAGACATTGTGGCCCATGCGGGCGCGAACGCGCGCACATATATACATATATATATACATATACATACACACGCACACACGCACACACGCACACACGCACA